ATAATAGTCATTGACGTCACAGGTTCAGTTTGCACACGTGTTTCTACTGAAAGAACTTCTTCAGTTACCAGGCGCTCTGAAATATTATGAGTATCACTGAGATGCCTCCTTAATTCATTTCCTTGCATAAACCACAAGTCACACAGAGTACAATGGTTGGGTTTATCTCCAGTGTGTATCACCAGGTGATCTTTGAACTGGTCCCAGCTGTGAAACACACTATTACAGACCTGACATTCATAGAGCTTCTTTCTCCCCTTTTTTGCTCCCACTCCAGTTTGGCATGCAGTCAAGTGACATTTGAGGCTACTATTTCTAGCAAATCGTTCATGACAATTTGGACATTCAAAAGGTTTTTCACCTGTATGTTTTCGAAGATGCTCTTTAAAATGTCCAAAGTGGTCAAACTGCTTCTCACAGTACTGACATATGTGTATTTTTTTCCCAGTTCTCTGCTTCTTACTGACTCCACCTTCTTCCAGGTGGTAACAACTGAGGTGCTGTTTCCACGCGCTCTCCCGAAGATACATTTTATTGCATATTTCACACTTGAAACTCTCAGTGGAGTGTGATTTCATGTGTTCCTTCTACCTGTTTGCTTGTGGGGTCAGATGCACAGCCGTCTTCATCTTTAATCTGCCCTTTTCTATCGCCTTGGCGGTACTTGCTGGTAATATCTGCCAACAATGCCAGAGCGGAATCATCAGAGGAACCTGTGCTCTGAATGTACTTTATGGACTGCTTGGCAGAAGCCACTTCCTCCAACGTTTCGATGCCTTCATCTTCCACTTCGATTGTGCCTTCGGCAATCTCCACCTCAATTTCAAAAGGTTCAGATTCTGCAGATGGCAATGACTCAGTGATAACATTTGAAGTCTCTGCAATCTTTCTTTTTTTGCTTCATTTTTCCCTGTGGTATTTTCCTCTAGTGGAGCTGAGTTTTCTTTGTTTCTGACTTCAAGGGCTTTGATAGCTTCTAGCATCTGTAGAAACTCTGCTGATTTCCATACATCATTGGCTTCTTCTTCTCCTTGTATCATTAACTTTGCTGTATATGTGAACTCAATCAAACGACGAAAGGCCATTTTACTAACACCTTCTATCTCCACCAAAGGTTCCTGAGTAAACTCCTGAAAGAATTTATAGAAGAACTTGCTGCAAGCAGCCAAAACAGCCTTGTGGGCCTTAAAATGGTGTCCGTCGACAATCAGGGTGATGTCAGTAAACCGGTCCTGCTCTCGCTGTTCATTCAATCGGTCCAGGATCATTTTATGATGTTCAGGGAACTCCTGAAGGCATTCCATCGTCTCTTCGGCCTCCATGGCCGTCCGGTTGCTCTACAAAAGAGGAGCATGATAATGTACACCCATGAGCTCGGGCTGAGGAACAAAACCCCTAAAGCACAAAATAACAACAAAAAAAGCAAAACCCCAGCAACGTGAAAGAAAGGGGGAGGGTGAGGCAAGAGGAGAGGAAGGCGAGGGAAGAAAGAAAGGCGAGCCGGGCGGCCGCCGCGCGTTGGGGGCCAGAGCCGCGGCCACGGGACTCCGAGCCTGACCTAACTGGAGTCAGGAGACGCGAGCTGGAGCGGGGTGGGCACAGCACCGGACGCTCCTAGCGCCGGGGCGCGCAAGTCCGGCAGGGGAGGAGACCCTACAGCCGGCGCGGCCCGCTAACGGCCCGCCAAGCCCCTCGGCCCGGCCCTGGCTCCCGCCTTCCCGGGACCAGGTCCGGCCCACGGCCCACAACGACTCCCGGGTCGCCTCTCCCTCCCCCGCCCTCCCTCCTCTCCCCCGACCGGACCGGGCCGGCACTCACGCAGGGAACGAGAGGCCTCCTCTTGAGGTGCTTCTGGAGAGTTGGCATACGTCTTGATACTAAGCCAGGGAATCAGCTCTCATCTCGAGACGATTTGGGGTACACGGAGCATTCCTCGAGTTGCTGTGCTGAAGTTGGTGTTCCTCTAGACTTGGGACAGTGTTCTCGGGGCATCTCTGGAGTTACCTGAAGGAAGTCAAGCCACTGGTCGTGTTGAATGGGGAACGGGGGATGGCTCTGGAGTCAAGGCAGGGGAATCGGGCCTCATCTCGAGTTGATTTGGGGCACGTGGAGCTGCTGTGCGTTGCTGGGGTGACCTCAGGGTCCGTGTAGACTTGTGACAGTGTACTTGGGGACTGTCTCGAGATCCATTAAGCAAGTCGAAGCTCCTGACTTGTTTGATGGGGATCACGGAATAGCTCTGCATGCACTGCAGGGGAATGGGGCCTCATCTCGCCTCTAGGGGGAAGTCTCAAGGTTTTTCTCGATTTGCGGCAGGGAACTTGGGTATGTTCTCGAGTTACGGCGGGGATGGCCCTTCAAAATACGTGTTTATTCACTGACGTCAGGACTCCTGTCTAGTAACGAGGGACACCTCCGGAATCTCTTCGAGGCTTGCCAGGGCAAAAGCGATGCTTCTCGAGGTGAGGCAGGGCACCCAAGGACCCTTTCCAGTAGCCACAGGGATTTTGGGATTCCTATCAGTATTCAAGAGGAGTCAGGCATCGTCACCTTTTGAAGCAGTGAACTCCGCCTGCCTCTCGAGGTGTCAACGGGATGTGAGGCATTCCGTCAAAATGAGGCACGGGCCTAGAGCTTTCTCTAAGGTCTCCACAAGGGATTCAGACATCCTTTCATGTTGTGAGATGAAAGATGAGCCTGTATTCAAGCCACTGCAAGGAAATCCGGCCTCCTTTCAAGTTAGGGCTTCTCGCTGTATATTCCCCTTGAGGCAGCAAACTCGGGGTCCGTCACACACACCTATTTCTGAGAGAAGCCTACTCTTGAGGTGCTTCTGGAGAGTTGGCATACGTCTTGAGCCAAAGCCAGGAAATCAGCTCTCATCTCGAGACGATTTGGGGTACACGGAGCATTCCTCGAGTTGCTGTGCTGAAGTTGGTGTTCCTCTAGACTTGGAACAGTGTTCTCTGGGCATCTCTGGAGTTCCTGAAGGAAGTCAAGCGACTGGTCGTGTTGAATGTGGAACGGGGGATGGCTCTGGAGTCAATGCAGGGGAATCGGGCCTCATCTCGAGTTGATTTGGGGCACATGGAGCTGCTGTGCGTTGCTGGGGTGACCTCAGGATCCGTCTAGACTTGTGACAGTGTACTTGGGGACTCTCTCGAGATCCATTAAGCAAGTCGAAGCTCCTGACTTGTTTAATGGGGATCACGGAATTGCTCTGCAAGCAATGCAGTGGAATCGGGCCTCATATCGCATCTAAGGTGAAGTCTCATGGTTTTTCTCGAGTTGCGGCGGGGACCTGGGGTATGTTCTCGAGTTACGGCGGGGATGGCCCTTCAAAACACGTGTTTATTCAGTGACGTCAGGACTCCTGTCTAGTAACGAGGGACACCTCACGAATCTCTTCGAGGCTTGGCCAGGCAAAAGGGACGCTTCTCGAGGTGAGGCAGGGCCCCCAAGGACCCTTTCCTGTAGCCACAGGGATTTTGGGATTCCTATCAGTATTCAAGAGGAGTCAGGCATCGTCACCTTTTGAAGCAGTGAACTCCGCGTGCCTCTCGAGGTGTCAACGAGATGTGAGGCCTTCCGTCAAAATGAGGCAGGGACCTAGGGCTTTCTCTAAGGTCTCCACAGGGGATTCAGACATCCCTTCATGTTGTGAGATGAAAGACGAGCCTGTATTCAAGCCACTGCAAGGAAATCCGGCCTCCTTTCACGTTAGGGCTTCTCGCTGTATATTCCACTTGAGGCAGCAAACTCGGGGTCCTTCCCACATACCTATTGCTGAGGGAATCCTCCTCTTTTTTTTTTTTTTAATTTTAAAGTTTACTTTAAAAATATAAGTATCTCCCAATATTTAACAGGTAAAGAAAAGAGCATATTGGTTTATTTTCTGTAGTTGTTATATTTTATTTTCCATGTAATACTGATTAAAAATATTTACACACCTACTTTTAAGTCCACAGTTTAGCATTCTTATTTGTATGGCTTTAAAAATTATAGCACACGATCTTTATATTAAGGATTGGGGGAAAAGATTCATTCAAAACAAAGCCTGATATATTATATACATGTTTTTCTCTGTACTTTGTTTTAAATACATTAATTTTTAAATGATGCTCATCTTGTTTTCATCTGGTGGTAAAATTACTAGTGCAACTTTTTATCAAAATAAAGTTTACCACAGATATACATGAATTTTCCCAATTGAAAATGGCCCTTCAGCTGCCATTAAATGAAATTTCTCAATCTAAGTGAAAAAGAATTGGTAGCTGTCATTATAGGCAAAAAAATGTAAAGTACTACAGCATCACCTACACTGCTTACAACACAAATTTTGAAAGAACTAGAGATGCTTTATAGAAGTTTAGTTGGTTTTGAAAAGGCACATGGGTGTGTGTGTGTTTTTTTTAAACATTCTAGAAATTCGCCACCACCATTCTGTTTCTGTTGCAGAGATGACATCTATTACTATCCATCAGGGCAGACAAGGATGTTGTTCAAGCTAAAGGAAGCCAGAAGCCAAAATTTAACTGCACAGTAACAATGCACTTTTCTTCATGCAGTCTTGTTTCCTATATATTCAAATTTTCTAACATGCATTAGAATACATAAACTTGTATTCTAATGATTTTACATTTGATTTTACAACATGGGGCGGGGGGGGGAGGGGACTTGAAGAAGGACATGTCCAGGGAAGGAGAGTAAGAACTCTTACCACAATGAAAATATACATTCGTACCCAACTATATAATAAGAATGTAATCCATTTTAAGTTTTCTAGAAATATACTTCTCAAAGCTTCCCATTCACTTATGGGAAAGTTCCCTCCTCTGTGGCAAAGTGGGGGGAAATCAGTCTGCTTCCATAGAAACAGTTCAGCACACCAGGAAAGTTTAACTTTGGTCCACATGTCTGTTAGCGTAAGGACAGTCACACTGCCCATCATCAGTTGAAAAACCCAACAGATAACTTTAAAAATATATGCATTTGTTATTTCATTCTAAAACTGGCATAGGTGTTCTGTTCTCATTTCCTGCCTTTTCGGCTTGGGAATCCACTGTTGATTTGGTCTCTAAAGCCTCAGCATCTTCGTGTTCTTCTGTAGCAGCCTCAGCAGCATCTGCCTGGGTAGGCTCTCTCTCCTCTTGGTTCATGATTTCAGGGGTCACTTGATCCAAGTCTGCTTCTAGAAGCTCAGTTTGTACTTCCACTGGCATCTGATTTACCCGTTCAACATGCAGCTCCTCTACATGGACTTCAGTACCTTCTTCAGTCTGAATTCGCCCCACTTCTAGATAACTTACCTGGACCTGCTCTGGAAGCTCACTTATGTGCGACTCGTGCACTTGGCTGTCCTGGAGCAGATCTGGATGGACCTGTTCCACAGTCACTTGTGCTGAGTCCACCTGAACCTGGAGCAGTGGTAACACATGCACCTTCCCAACTTGTTCTATAATAGTCATTGACGTCACAGGTTCAGTTTGCACACGTGTTTCTACTGAAAGAACTTCTTCAGTTACCAGGCGCTCTGAAATATTATGAGTATCACTGAGATGCCTCCTTAATTCATTTCCTTGCATAAACCACAAGTCACACAGAGTACAATGGTTGGGTTTATCTCCAGTGTGTATCACCAGGTGATCTTTGAACTGGTCCCAGCTGTGAAACACACTATTACAGACCTGACATTCATAGAGCTTCTTTCTCCCCTTTTTTGCTCCCACTCCAGTTTGGCATGCAGTCAAGTGACATTTGAGGCTACTATTTCTAGCAAATCGTTCATGACAATTTGGACATTCAAAAGGTTTTTCACCTGTATGTTTTCGAAGATGCTCTTTAAAATGTCCAAAGTGGTCAAACTGCTTCTCACAGTACTGACATATGTGTATTTTTTTCCCAGTTCTCTGCTCCTTACTGACTCCACCTTCTTCCAGGTGGTAACAACTGAGGTGCTGTTTCCACGCGCTCTCCCGAAGATACATTTTATTGCATATTTCACACTTGAAACTCTCAGTGGAGTGTGATTTCATGTGTTCCTTCTACCTGTTTGCTTGTGGGGTCAGATGCACAGCCGTCTTCATCTTTAATCTGCCCTTTTCTATCGCCTTGGCGGTACTTGCTGGTAATATCTGCCAACAATGCCAGAGCGGAATCATCAGAGGAACCTGTGCTCTGAATGTACTTTATGGACTGCTTGGCAGAAGCCACTTCCTCCAACGTTTCGATGCCTTCATCTTCCACTTCGATTGTGCCTTCGGCAATCTCCACCTCAATTTCAAAAGGTTCAGATTCTGCAGATGGCAATGACTCAGTGATAACATTTGAAGTTTCTGCAATCTTTCTTTTTTTGCTTCATTTTTCCCTGTGGTATTTTCCTCTAGTGGAGCTGAGTTTTCTTTGTTTCTGACTTCAAGGGCTTTGATAGCTTCTAGCATCTGTAGAAACTCTGCTGATTTCCATACATCATTGGCTTCTTCTTCTCCTTGTATCATTAACTTTGCTGTATATGTGAACTCAATCAAACGACGAAAGGCCATTTTACTAACACCTTCTATCTCCACCAAAGGTTCCTGAGTAAACTCCTGAAAGAATTTATAGAAGAACTTGCTGCAAGCAGCCAAAACAGCCTTGTGGGCCTTAAAATGGTGTCCGTCGACAATCAGGGTGATGTCAGTAAACCGGTCCTGCTCTCGCTGTTCATTCAATCGGTCCAGGATCATTTTATGATGTTCAGGGAACTCCTGAAGGCATTCCATCGTCTCTTCGGCCTCCATGGCCGTCCGGTTGCTCTACAAAAGAGGAGCATGATAATGTACACCCATGAGCTCGGGCTGAGGAACAAAACCCCTAAAGCACAAAATAACAACAAAAAAAGCAAAACCCCAGCAACGTGAAAGAAAGGGGGAGGGTGAGGCAAGAGGAGAGGAAGGCGAGGGAAGAAAGAAAGGCGAGCCGGGCGGCCGCCGCGCGTTGGGGGCCAGAGCCGCGGCCACGGGACTCCGAGCCTGACCTAACTGGAGTCAGGAGACGCGAGCTGGAGCGGGGTGGGCACAGCACCGGACGCTCCTAGCGCCGGGGCGCGCAAGTCCGGCAGGGGAGGAGACCCTACAGCCGGCGCGGCCCGCTAACGGCCCGCCAAGCCCCTCGGCCCGGCCCTGGCTCCCGCCTTCCCGGGACCAGGTCCGGCCCACGGCCCACAACGACTCCCGGGTCGCCTCTCCCTCCCCCGCCCTCCCTCCTCTCCCCCGACCCGACCGGGCCGGCACTCACGCAGGGAACGAGAGGCCTCCTCTTGAGGTGCTTCTCCAGATTTGGCATACGTCTTGATACTAAGCCAGGGAATCAGCTCTCATCTCGAGACGATTTGGGGTACACGGAGCATTCCTCGAGTTGCTGTGCTGAAGTTGGTGTTCCTCTAGACTTGGGACAGTGTTCTCGGGGCATCTCTGGAGTTACCTGAAGGAAGTCAAGCCACTGGTCGTGTTGAATGGGGAACGGGGGATGGCTCTGGAGTCAAGGCAGGGGAATCGGGCCTCATCTCGAGTTGATTTGGGGCACGTGGAGCTGCTGTGCGTTGCTGGGGTGACCTCAGGGTCCGTGTAGACTTGTGACAGTGTACTTGGGGACTGTCTCGAGATCCATTAAGCAAGTCGAAGCTCCTGACTTGTTTGATGGGGATCACGGAATAGCTCTGCATGCACTGCAGGGGAATGGGGCCTCATCTCGCCTCTAGGGGGAAGTCTCAAGGTTTTTCTCGATTTGCGGCAGGGAACTTGGGTATGTTCTCGAGTTACGGCGGGGATGGCCCTTCAAAATACGTGTTTATTCACTGACGTCAGGACTCCTGTCTAGTAACGAGGGACACCTCCGGAATCTCTTCGAGGCTTGCCAGGGCAAAAGCGATGCTTCTCGAGGTGAGGCAGGGCACCCAAGGACCCTTTCCAGTAGCCACAGGGATTTTGGGATTCCTATCAGTATTCAAGAGGAGTCAGGCATCGTCACCTTTTGAAGCAGTGAACTCCGCCTGCCTCTCGAGGTGTCAACGGGATGTGAGGCATTCCGTCAAAATGAGGCACGGGCCTAGAGCTTTCTCTAAGGTCTCCACAAGGGATTCAGACATCCTTTCATGTTGTGAGATGAAAGATGAGCCTGTATTCAAGCCACTGCAAGGAAATCCGGCCTCCTTTCAAGTTAGGGCTTCTCGCTGTATATTCCCCTTGAGGCAGCAAACTCGGGGTCCGTCACACACACCTATTTCTGAGAGAAGCCTACTCTTGAGGTGCTTCTGGAGAGTTGGCATACGTCTTGAGCCAAAGCCAGGAAATCAGCTCTCATCTCGAGACGATTTGGGGTACACGGAGCATTCCTCGAGTTACTGTGCTGAAGTTGGTGTTCCTCTAGACTTGGAACAGTGTTCTCTGGGCATCTCTGGAGTTCCTGAAGGAAGTCAAGCGACTGGTCGTGTTGAATGTGGAACGGGGGATGGCTCTGGAGTCAATGCAGGGGAATCGGGCCTCATCTGGAGTTGATTTGGGGCACATGGAGCTGCTGTGCGTTGCTGGGGTGACCTCAGGATCCGTCTAGACTTGTGACAGTGTACTTGGGGACTCTCTCGAGATCCATTAAGCAAGTCGAAGCTCCTGACTTGTTTAATGGGGATCACGGAATTGCTCTGCAAGCAATGCAGTGGAATCGGGCCTCATATCGCATCTAAGGTGAAGTCTCATGGTTTTTCTCGAGTTGCGGCGGGGACCTGGGGTATGTTCTCGAGTTACGGCGGGGATGGCCCTTCAAAACACGTGTTTATTCAGTGACGTCAGGACTCCTGTCTAGTAACGAGGGACACCTCACGAATCTCTTCGAGGCTTGGCCAGGCAAAAGGGACGCTTCTCGAGGTGAGGCAGGGCCCCCAAGGACCCTTTCCTGTAGCCACAGGGATTTTGGGATTCCTATCAGTATTCAAGAGGAGTCAGGCATCGTCACCTTTTGAAGCAGTGAACTCCGCGTGCCTCTCGAGGTGTCAACGAGATGTGAGGCCTTCCGTCAAAATGAGGCAGGGACCTAGGGCTTTCTCTAAGGTCTCCACAGGGGATTCAGACATCCCTTCATGTTGTGAGATGAAAGACGAGCCTGTATTCAAGCCACTGCAAGGAAATCCGGCCTCCTTTCACGTTAGGGCTTCTCGCTGTATATTCCACTTGAGGCAGCAAACTCGGGGTCCTTCCCACATACCTATTGCTGAGGGAATCCTCCTCTTTTTTTTTTTTTAATTTTAAAGTTTACTTTAAAAATATAAGTATCTCCCAATATTTAACAGGTAAAGAAAAGAGCATATTGGTTTATTTTCTGTAGTTGTTATATTTTATTTTCCATGTAATACTGATTAAAAATATTTACACACCTACTTTTAAGTCCACAGTTTAGCATTCTTATTTGTATGGCTTTAAAAATTATAGCACACGATCTTTATATTAAGGATTGGGGGAAAAGATTCATTCAAAACAAAGCCTGATATATTATATACATGTTTTTCTCTGTACTTTGTTTTAAATACATTAATTTTTAAATGATGCTCATCTTGTTTTCATCTGGTGGTAAAATTACTAGTGCAACTTTTTATCAAAATAAAGTTTACCACAGATATACATGAATTTTCCCAATTGAAAATGGCCCTTCAGCTGCCATTAAATGAAATTTCTCAATCTAAGTGAAAAAGAATTGGTAGCTGTCATTATAGGCAAAAAAATGTAAAGTACTACAGCATCACCTACACTGCTTACAACACAAATTTTGAAAGAACTAGAGATGCTTTATAGAAGTTTAGTTGGTTTTGAAAAGGCACATGGGTGTGTGTGTGTTTTTTTTAAACATTCTAGAAATTCGCCACCACCATTCTGTTTCTGTTGCAGAGATGACATCTATTACTATCCATCAGGGCAGACAAGGATGTTGTTCAAGCTAAAGGAAGCCAGAAGCCAAAATTTAACTGCACAGTAACAATGCACTTTTCTTCATGCAGTCTTGTTTCCTATATATTCAAATTTTCTAACATGCATTAGAATACATAAACTTGTATTCTAATGATTTTACATTTGATTTTACAACATGGGGCGGGGGGGGGAGGGGACTTGAAGAAGGACATGTCCAGGGAAGGAGAGTAAGAACTCTTACCACAATGAAAATATACATTCGTACCCAACTATATAATAAGAATGTAATCCATTTTAAGTTTTCTAGAAATATACTTCTCAAAGCTTCCCATTCACTTATGGGAAAGTTCCCTCCTCTGTGGCAAAGTGGGGGGAAATCAGTCTGCTTCCATAGAAACAGTTCAGCACACCAGGAAAGTTTAACTTTGGTCCACATGTCTGTTAGCGTAAGGACAGTCACACTGCCCATCATCAGTTGAAAAACCCAACAGATAACTTTAAAAATATATGCATTTGTTATTTCATTCTAAAACTGGCATAGGTGTTCTGTTCTCATTTCCTGCCTTTTCGGCTTGGGAATCCACTGTTGATTTGGTCTCTAAAGCCTCAGCATCTTCGTGTTCTTCTGTAGCAGCCTCAGCAGCATCTGCCTGGGTAGGCTCTCTCTCCTCTTGGTTCATGATTTCAGGGGTCACTTGATCCAAGTCTGCTTCTAGAAGCTCAGTTTGTACTTCCACTGGCATCTGATTTACCCGTTCAACATGCAGCTCCTCTACATGGACTTCAGTACCTTCTTCAGTCTGAATTCGCCCCACTTCTAGATAACTTACCTGGACCTGCTCTGGAAGCTCACTTATGTGCGACTCGTGCACTTGGCTGTCCTGGAGCAGATCTGGATGGACCTGTTCCACAGTCACTTGTGCTGAGTCCACCTGAACCTGGAGCAGTGGTAACACATGCACCTTCCCAACTTGTTCTATAATAGTCATTGACGTCACAGGTTCAGTTTGCACACGTGTTTCTACTGAAAGAACTTCTTCAGTTACCAGGCGCTCTGAAATATTATGAGTATCACTGAGATGCCTCCTTAATTCATTTCCTTGCATAAACCACAAGTCACACAGAGTACAATGGTTGGGTTTATCTCCAGTGTGTATCACCAGGTGATCTTTGAACTGGTCCCAGCTGTGAAACACACTATTACAGACCTGACATTCATAGAGCTTCTTTCTCCCCTTTTTTGCTCCCACTCCAGTTTGGCATGCAGTCAAGTGACATTTGAGGCTACTATTTCTAGCAAATCGTTCATGACAATTTGGACATTCAAAAGGTTTTTCACCTGTATGTTTTCGAAGATGCTCTTTAAAATGTCCAAAGTGGTCAAACTGCTTCTCACAGTACTGACATATGTGTATTTTTTTCCCAGTTCTCTGCTCCTTACTGACTCCACCTTCTTCCAGGTGGTAACAACTGAGGTGCTGTTTCCACGCGCTCTCCCGAAGATACATTTTATTGCATATTTCACACTTGAAACTCTCAGTGGAGTGTGATTTCATGTGTTCCTTCTACCTGTTTGCTTGTGGGGTCAGATGCACAGCCGTCTTCATCTTTAATCTGCCCTTTTCTATCGCCTTGGCGGTACTTGCTGGTAATATCTGCCAACAATGCCAGAGCGGAATCATCAGAGGAACCTGTGCTCTGAATGTACTTTATGGACTGCTTGGCAGAAGCCACTTCCTCCAACGTTTCGATGCCTTCATCTTCCACTTCGATTGTGCCTTCGGCAATCTCCACCTCAATTTCAAAAGGTTCAGATTCTGCAGATGGCAATGACTCAGTGATAACATTTGAAGTTTCTGCAATCTTTCTTTTTTTGCTTCATTTTTCCCTGTGGTATTTTCCTCTAGTGGAGCTGAGTTTTCTTTGTTTCTGACTTCAAGGGCTTTGATAGCTTCTAGCATCTGTAGAAACTCTGCTGATTTCCATACATCATTGGCTTCTTCTTCTCCTTGTATCATTAACTTTGCTGTATATGTGAACTCAATCAAACGACGAAAGGCCATTTTACTAACACCTTCTATCTCCACCAAAGGTTCCTGAGTAAACTCCTGAAAGAATTTATAGAAGAACTTGCTGCAAGCAGCCAAAACAGCCTTGTGGGCCTTAAAATGGTGTCCGTCGACAATCAGGGTGATGTCAGTAAACCGGTCCTGCTCTCGCTGTTCATTCAATCGGTCCAGGATCATTTTATGATGTTCAGGGAACTCCTGAAGGCATTCCATCGTCTCTTCGGCCTCCATGGCCGTCCGGTTGCTCTACAAAAGAGGAGCATGATAATGTACACCCATGAGCTCGGGCTGAGGAACAAAACCCCTAAAGCACAAAATAACAACAAAAAAAGCAAAACCCCAGCAACGTGAAAGAAAGGGGGAGGGTGAGGCAAGAGGAGAGGAAGGCGAGGGAAGAAAGAAAGGCGAGCCGGGCGGCCGCCGCGCGTTGGGGGCCAGAGCCGCGGCCACGGGACTCCGAGCCTGACCTAACTGGAGTCAGGAGACGCGAGCTGGAGCGGGGTGGGCACAGCACCGGACGCTCCTAGCGCCGGGGCGCGCAAGTCCGGCAGGGGAGGAGACCCTACAGCCGGCGCGGCCCGCTAACGGCCCGCCAAGCCCCTCGGCCCGGCCCTGGCTCCCGCCTTCCCGGGACCAGGTCCGGCCCACGGCCCACAACGACTCCCGGGTCGCCTCTCCCTCCCCCGCCCTCCCTCCTCTCCCCCGACCGGACCGGGCCGGCACTCACGCAGGGAACGAGAGGCCTCCTCTTGAGGTGCTTCTGGAGAGTTGGCATACGTCTTGATACTAAGCCAGGGAATCAGCTCTCATCTCGAGACGATTTGGGGTACACGGAGCATTCCTCGAGTTGCTGTGCTGAAGTTGGTGTTCCTCTAGACTTGGGACAGTGTTCTCGGGGCATCTCTGGAGTTACCTGAAGGAAGTCAAGCCACTGGTCGTGTTGAATGGGGAACGGGGGATGGCTCTGGAGTCAAGGCAGGGGAATCGGGCCTCATCTCGAGTTGATTTGGGGCACGTGGAGCTGCTGTGCGTTGCTGGGGTGACCTCAGGGTCCGTGTA